TCTATCTATCTATCTATTAATAAAATGTTTTTGTTTTCCAGGCTGCTTTGTTGGCGCTCCAAGAGGAGAACATGGAGGCTTCTGCCATCAAACACACATACTTTCTCCGGTCCCTCAGCAAAATGAGCCCCTCTCTCACTGCCCAGCAGATCCACACATATCAAACATCTCCCAGATGACGAAACACATATGACCATGTCCTCTACATTGATACATTGTATTATTACACAAGAATTGGTTTTAAATAAAAACTGTAAAACTTGACCTTTTGTGTCTGGTATTTTTCCTTGTTTTATTGTCACTGACAAGCACTAAAAATTAGTTAATGTTTGAGATCCACATTTCAAGCCATCCACCAGCCATTCACTTTCAGTTTTCAAATGCAGCCACAAGATGGCGCTGCACACTTAGAAAATGTATTGATCATCAGTACTGTGAGTCAGTTAAAAAAATTGGTATCTACTGGTGCATTTCGGTGCAGGAAGTGCTGTCTGTCTACGTGCCTTTCATCTCGTACTATCTCTCATCCAGCCTACATCAGCCGGGTTCACATGATGCTGCGCTAAGTGCAGTTAAGAACTTCACAGCAACAACAGGTGAGATCTGCCACACACAGCTGCGTTTATTACTTGGTGACTTTAATTCACCAAATGGACTCTCAGCCTTATTGTTAAGTGGAAATATGATCATTTTCTCTTCAGGTACTTCAGAGTTTTTAAAAATGTCTGGATTTTTCCAAATGTTGAGAAAGAAAAAGGAGGTGAGCTGTTTACATTTTTACTATGTTCAAAGTGATTTTTGTATTGTACATATTGAATTTGTAGTATATTATATGCATTTAAATATGATGATGCATATTTATAAACTTATTTTTTATATGTGTGTTCCAGCTGATCCCTCTGATAGGGTTCATGGCTTTTGCAGCAGCAGGAGCCACTTCTGCTGCTGTCTACTTTCTATTTACTAAAACTGATGTTATGTGAGTGTTATTGTACTTCTTATTTTGACAAAATCATTATATTACTCTGTATTTATTTTCTAATAAAAAGTGCTCTTTTTCATACTAGGCATGTAAGAGATGCTTGGTAATGATGTACCATTTTCACTCACTATTTTTAGTTTGAATAAGACCAAAAACCCAGAACCATGGGAAAGAGTGGACCCATCAAAACCCCAAAAGGTAACATTCCTACTAAGCCTTTTTTTAACCCTTATTGGCAATTGAAAACAAGCAGAATCTCTAGCCTACAGCAGCAATCTGCTGAGTCACTGGGAAGGAAATGTTATCAAACTAGTGCCAGTCTGCTTCTGTGACATCAGATAGTAAAGCTGTTCATGTTGGTAGACGCCACGGTGCAGTTACTCATGTTACCTGTCACTTTAAATTGGTGTAACACTTGCAAATGGGTCAGAAGTCTCATTTTTATTTCTGGCATTTTCCTGCAGCTCATCACTATCAATCAGCAGTGGAAACCAGTGGAGGAGCTGCAGCTGGTGAAGAGCATCACCAAATAAAAAGGGCAGGCATCTCCTTGAAAGATCCCCCAGTCTGACTACCTGCCTGCCCCCCATCAGTCTAACAGAATCCTTTCTGCACAAACTAGGATGCTTTAATACTCAGTGTGCGGAAATGCTTCTGCTCCACTGGTGGGGTTTCACCCTGCTGTGTAGTGGCCCAGGTCAAGGACATCCATCCACAACAATAGAAAACTATGGTAAAAGATACTCATGCTGCCATGACGTTGTAGGTGAAAGAAGACTATCTTACTCTGAGTTTCTGTGATTACTGCTAGAGAGATTTATTTTGAACAGGTTGTGTTGCATTTCATTTGACCCCTGTCAAGTTGGTCGTCACAGCAACGCAGATGCTCTTACAGTAGAAGTGAATGTACGATAGTGTCTAAATGTAAAACACACAACATGTAAGTAATGTACTGTACAGTGTCAATAAAGTATTATTGTGATCATGTTTAACAGTCTTCATCAGTGTTTCCTTTGTTCTCATAAGTAGAAAGTAGAAAGATGTTTATGCAGGAATATTCATATTAATGTCTTTAGACTGATATTCATAGTCTGCTCTGTGTTATTAAGCTAAAAGTTACATCTCTCTTTTTACTCTAAATACATCACAAAACATAATAAAAGGATAAAACTAACAATGAATTGATCCCACTAACAAGTAATGAATATGTGGCCTGATGAGCCATTGACCTCGAATAACCTTCAGAGCAAACGTTTTTACTGAACATAGTAGGAAGAGCACAGGTGTTACTAATTCACTAAACCTGATCCAGTATTTTGTGTTTGAGTAGCATTTGCTAAAAACTACAGTGCCGAGCTGTTACAGGAAATTACTGAGAAGTGAAATTAAAACTCCTGTTTTTAAAGGAGTGGTTTGACATTTTGGGAAACATGCTTAACCACTTTCTTGGTAAAAGTTTTTTTTTTGGGGGGGGGGGTTGTCAGAATTAAACAAACAATATATAACGTTAACTTGTTAACTTTAGACGGAGGCAGGTTGTTTCCCCCCAACTCTTTTTTATGCTAAGCTAAGATTACCGACTGCTGGCTCTAGCTTCGTACCTATTTAGTGTGCAGACACGGCAGGCGTATTGATCTTCTCATTTGACTCTCAGCAAGAGAGCCAATAAATAAATTTTCTAATATATTTAACAGTCCTTTTAAAGATTTATGTCTTTAGTAGCAACAATTGGGCTTCTGGCTGCGTGCCACGTGCCAGCTGGGGAAGTCAGATTGTCTTGAGAAACTGTGCTTTGTTGATTTTAGTATTTTCCTGGGATTTGTTGACAATAAGAAAGATTAATGTCAGCCTGATCTTTCATGTTGTGTTTATATCCACAAAATACATCATTAAATAGAATTTGTTCACCACAGACAGCTTCATTTACTAGAAAGAGCATAGGTGTAATTGATAACAATAACAATAGCTCATTTCCATTTAGGTGTCTAAGTAAAACATGCCAGCAAGACAACATGCACAATGGCAGTTCCCTGAAAAAGGCACGCCTAAATGGAATGCAGCCATTATTGATTTTATTATATCCACCTGTGCCTTTCCTCAAAATGTCTGCGGTGCAAGAGGTCTAATGCTTAAATGAGTAGATTTTAAGATTAAGATTAAATCTTAATTTCTATTAAGAGGTTCCACATGATCTCTATCAGCAGTTAGTTTACCAAGTTGTGATTTTTAATGTGTATTTGTGTACATTTCTAAGCATTAGTCATTTGAGCAACATCTCCAAATCCATGGCTTTTAGGTTGATTGACTGATTGATAATATTTATTCGATTATTAAAAATACAGAATAGCTCTCCACATTTTACTTAAAAGATGCAGTCATGGTTTGTTTGAATGTCACTTACAGAGAAGAAAATGGTGAGATGTTGCCAGCTAGGACAGCTGTAAAGTAATTACTGCCATCAAGCAATAGGCAAATGCACTCATCTGCTTAGTTTATGGCTGCGTGGGCATTCAGTGCTCCCATTGTGTTTCGTAATCAGAGACAATCCTTTTAACGTCCATCTCGTATCTCAGAAGAGAGCAAAAACATGAGAAAAAAAACCCTCCCTCCTACAGCGTCTGGCCATTGCACTGCCTGGCAGGCACAACCTACTGGACTTTTGGCTGCAATGTTATTCTGATAGGATTTTTCTTAAATTATTAAACACTAAACAAGGGGTGTGAAGGGAGAGAGAAAGAGGGAGAGGCATGGCTATGTTTTCCTGGTGTATCTGATTCGCCCTATTTATCAAGAAGCCCTTTTACTATTTGGTTTCTCTTACATGGTGGGTTGTACATGCAAATGTCAGCATTGGTGTTTATGTTTATTTCCTTCCTCTTTACTGTTATCGTTTATCTTTTTTTATTATAATTATTTTAAGTGCTAGAAGCTTCCCTGTCACATTTCATAGCTTATAGGACGTAGTATCTCTTTACAGATGGAGGGCCTTTTCAGTGCTCTTGTATCACATAGTCAAATAATGTGATAATGTGTGTGGCCGATATGTGCATACTACAGTCAGACCTTAACTTCACCTATCAAGCTAAGAGCAAGTGAAAGGTTATTTAGGGAAACAATGACAGAAGAGGAAGGATGTAGTGCGTGTGATGTCGGAATTTGTGTACGTGACTGGGTCACAGACCATGTGACCATGTGACCAGAAAGTGGAGCAGGTATAACTCTCACAATGCACAAGAAGAGAGAGATGGAATTTCCCATGTGTTATCAGTGATACACTCCAGTGCTGTAACTATGAAAATATTTTCTGAAAGTTAACTGTCTTGAACTGTAACAACAAATGCCTATTTTTTCTGTAGTGTAACTGGTTTGGGCACTAGAGACTGAGACTTATTACTCCTGTTTATGGTTCTTTAGAATAAGGCAGGGCAATCAGGTGGATGCTGTAAACTATTGGCTGCGCTGTAATACAAACAGAGGAGTTGCCTTTGGTTCAGTGGCTTTGTTAACCCAGCTGTTGCCTGGAAACTGTGACACTCCCAGTTTACTCATCTTGTCAATAATAAACCACTGATATGTCTATATTTGAATATTAAACTTGTCCTGTGTGAAGAACTTCATGGTTACGTAGTGAATATATATATACAGTATGCTACATAATTATATTTAGGCTTTTGTATTTTTTCCTATTTAACTCTAGATAATTATTCAGCATTATCAGCTTTGACAAGGCAAATTCACCCATTTTCAGCCATGTATTTATATACTTGTTTGTTTATAACGTGTAGAGCATTCATCGTGTAAAGAACAAGGTGTGTTTTATGCTACTTTCCAGCCCGTGTGTAATGCAAACTATATATATGCATGTTATCTTATCAAATGACCATGTCACAAAAGAATCACTTAACTATTGTAGATGAACGCCACCTAGTGTTGAAAAGTGACAACAACATATCAAGCACACAAAACTATGAAGTCCTCTCAAACACTTCAAATTCATTCCTCATTAAATTAGGCATATATGGACTAAGATGGGTCCAACATCTGCAATCAGTGACTAATTCAGTGGAAAATAAGGATCCAGATATGAGTGGGAAGCTTTCTCTTGGATGGTAAAAATAAGTGACTGACACAAAAGATTAAATACTTTATTATAAACAAAAACAGTGATCCAGTTCCTGATTTCTCTTGATTAATATCAGAGACATGGAAAGGTTTAACAAAAACCCCAACCCCCTCCACAGCCTCTCAACATTTGACAGAGAAAACACTATAAACACCATTATTGGCAAATTTCAACTGACGGCTCCCTCCCTGAAAAACACTGCAACTTTGAAACACTGAAGATCTCTCAAACCCGTCTGCATTATTATACGGTCAGTTAAAGATATGAAAAAAGCATAGTAAGTATAGAGTGTAAGGCTAAAACCATACTGAAGTCAGTCCAACCACTGTAGTATTTACCTTTTATTCAAAGTCAGTCACACTTTGATTGTCAGTTACCTGCTTGTCACAATTAATAAGAGACATGCTAGAATAAAATGTCAGAGTTAAAAGTGTATTTTAAGTGCTGGTCAGTACAACCGATACGGACTGTTTTAAGAATATCACGAATAAGGTCATTGTCTTTTTTTCTAAAAATGTGCCTTACAACAGACTTTGGCTGAAGGATATTATTGATTAAGTGCATTTGATGAAATCTAATGTCTACTAAAGGGATGATGAAGGTTTTGTGCCTCACTTATGCCAGTGGTGAGGAGTACAGCTTATATGCACTGTGACCACAGTTATTATCAAGTGAAATGAGGTACCTTTTCAGTTGCTGACATCCATAGTAAAATAATAAAATCTTAGTATACAGTCCTCACACCTAGTAACAAAAACTAAAATTTACATCTGATGACAAAACATCATTTTTGATAAATCAAACTGTAAAATAGAAAAGAAAGTTACCTGTTGGAATAGGCTTTATTGGTGAATTAAGAGCAAATTTTTTTTTCCTCAGCATTCAAACTCCACTACCAAAGCTTTGCAGGCGTAAGAGCATAAGGTCCCCGGAGGCTGCAGTGAACCTCTAATTAGAAATGTGTTGTTCCACTGACTCTCCTTTGGCACCAGTTTTTTTTTTCCAGTTATAACCGTATCCTGTTGCTCCTGCTGACACTGAGCTGCGACAGTGATGCAACATCAAGGCCGTCTGTGTCCTCCAGCTCCATGAAATGCACTGTGGAAGTCAATGTAAGCATGTGTCTCTCTTTAGGCGCTGGGCTGCTGGCAGTGTGCACAACTGCGTACCGGCCTCACCCTGTGTGTCTGGATCTGCACTGTGCATCTGGTGAGACCGTAGGTGTGAAGGAGCAGGTGGCGAGCCTTCGCCTGGACGTCCTCCCAGTTGTTAGCACTAGAGGGTGCTGCAAACAAAATAAATGCATTTGAATATAAATGAAACAATATAAGAAATATAAATGTCACTTTTTCCCAGCATATATTTTGTGTAATTCATCAAATTTATTCTCAATTATCAAAAACACGGTATGGATTTTTGTGTTTAAACCCTTTAAACATAAACTGAGTGCTATGATGTTGGATGCTACATTTTTCTAGAATTAGATTTTAATACTACAGTATTCTTGTAAATTCACATCCCTACACACTGGGTTGGTTTACTGGAACACTTGATGAACTGAGTCGTCGTTAGTGTCATTAGTAACATATGCTTTACTGCTATGTATTCAAAATGTCTGCTGGGAAAAATGTCTATTCTCTTCTACATACTAATTCTATACAGTATAAACTACTTAATATACTGTTTTTTCTAGTTAGTCTACCAAAATATCAACATTCACAACCATTTTATACTAACAGGAAATCACATTAGAGACGTTCCGATTCAGATATAGCCGATATATGTGCGTTAAAAAAAATAGGTATGTATATACTATATATATATACTGTATGTTATTATTATTTAATAAGCGTATACAACTAAGCCTGT